AAAAATCCATCATTTTGGGGGGAAAAATCCATCATTTTTGGAGTTCCATGCCCCAACTCATCCTGGGAGGGTTTTCCCTCAGTTTGCCCTTAAATCCTGGGGGATGTTTCCACACTGTTGTCCTTGGAAGTTTCCCTGTGGATGCTCCCTCCCAAACTGGGGTGTTTTGAGGGTCTCTTGTTGAAGCAGAGCCGTTAAACTGGAACTAAATGACAATAAACCACCTCACTGGGGGTTGATCCCAGAGAATCCCGGGATTATTTGGGTTGGAATGACCTCAGAGGTGATCCAGCTCCACCCCCTCTGGAGCTGGATCCCACCTTTCCCCTATCCCAGGTTGCTCCAAGCCTTGGATACTCCCAGGGATGGGGCAGCCACAGCTTCTCTGGGCAAACCTGTGCCAGCTGCAGGAATTCCAAGGTGGAAAAGCACTGATTTTACTGGGGGGAAGATCCTCACGGGAATTCCAGCAGCTTCAGGGAGGCTGGAAAACAGGACCTGAGGGGCAAAACTCTTCCCAAAAGGCCAAGTCCCCTCAGGGTGGGCCGTTGAAATAATTAAAGGAAACACAAAATGTAACTGTGGGAGGGTTAAAAGTTACAATCCCAGGGTACAAATCCACCAGGCGAGGCCAAATCCTTCAGGATTTTTCAAGGACGATTCCAGAGGGCAGTAACGGAGCTGTGAGCAAACCACAGAATCACGGAACCACCACCTTCCCTACGCTTCTCCAGAGCGTCCTGATCGCCCCCTGCCCTAAAAACCAACCATGGGCAGCTTCAAAAACCCCAGACTGGGGCAGACCCACCTTCCTGAGGGGGGTGGAGGCAGCCAAAGGACTCGTGTTCCTCTTGGATTCTGCCACCAGCTGCACCTCGGGGGAGCTCCCGGAGCTCAGCGAGGAGTTGGTGAGTCCCGAGTCTCCCTCGGGAGAGGATTCCACGGTGTCGTTTCCCGACGTGGCGCTTCCATCCGGAGAGGCCCCCTGGGGGGCTTTCCCGGCCATGATGTCCTCCAGGAGCACCACGGGCACCTTCCCCTCAAAGAGCACGTCCTTCAGTTCGCTCTGGCCGCCCTTGCTGCCCGCCAGGTCCTTGCAGCCCAGCCCTGCCAGCCCTTCCTCCCCGCGGGCTGCGCCGGTCTCCCTGGAATCCGCCGGCTGGGAGCTCTGAGGGAGGCTGGGGCAGCTCAGCTGGGTCACCTCTTGCCCTGTCGTGCCACGAGCTGGGGGTGAAGCAGCTCCAGAGTCCGAATCCCCCCGGGCTGTGCCATGGCCGAGTCCGTGGCCGGAGCCCTTGGGCAGCTCCGGGCCGAGCCCAGGGTCACTCGTGTCACCTCCGGGGTTTTTCTGGATAAAGTGGTCTAAGGGACCTTTGCCATTGACGAGTTTGGGGGGGAAATTCCCGTCGGAGCCCAGCTGGCAGTCGTTCTCCACGTTGTCCAGGGACGCCCTGGATGAATCCAGGGCGGGATCTTTGCTGGGATCAAAAGCACTCGGGGAGCTCTTGACTTTCTTGACCTCGGAATCCACCTCATATTTTTCCTTTGGCACCGGATTGAGGCGCTTGAAGGGCAGGCGAGCTGCAACAGCAACAGCAACAACAACAACAACAACAACAGGGGGTTATTTGGTCACCACACGGAGCAGGGGATCAAATATCAACTTATTTTATTAATTCTGAAGCAAAAGGTTTGAGATCAGCCACTTGGGGGAGGGTTTTAGAACAGCCAGGGTGATGTATGAGGGGAAGGCTGTGGATGGGTCTACCTGGACTTCAGCAAGGCCTTTGACACCGTCTCCCACAGCATATTCCTGAAAAAGCTGTAGCCATGGCTTGGACAGGGGCACTCTGTGCTGGGTTAGGAACTGGCTGGAGGGCTGGACCCAGAGGGTGGTGGGGATGGAGCTGCATCCAGGTGGGATCCGGTCACTTGTGGTGTCCCCCAGGGATCAGTGTTAGGGCCAGTTCTGTTTAATA